AAACAACATGTGGAACGAATCGCTTAACAAAGTTGATTTTCTTTTAGCGTTTGCTCAATGCTAATTGAACTAATAGTTTTGCCTGTGACGTTGAGGTAAGCAACTAACATCCACCAAATATTTTTGGCCCAAGCAGATTTAAACCTTTGCCAGTTTCACTAGAGCTTCAACAAGTGTACATCTCCTCATCTATTTAATCCCACTTCTTTTACTTACTTCACTATCTAACCTCTCCAATGACCAGCTCGAGTTGTCAATATCAATTAGCCCGAACGCCCGCGGGTGATGTTTCGGCCGCCGGGTTTTTGCCCCAATCCCACGATCCCCGCATTCCCCCCGGCGGCGGGCGCGCATTCCCCTTAACGAATCGAGCAAGCCCACTCGTTTTTGCCTTTCCCGCTCGACAATTTTCGGAAGTGACATTTCATCGTGGTAATAAGCCGCGAACACCTCCACTGCCTCTTTTTGCACTCCTTTCTGACAATTGCACTTTTTCAACTCTTCAAATCGATTGTTTTTCACATCGAATTTGACGTTTGAAATGAACGGTATTTATTTATTGTCTAGCACCGGCGATCCGGTCTCGGCTCTCGCGCTTTTTGTTGCTTTCGTATTCCGCAAGAGTACTCTCTCCGTTAATGGGTATTGAAAAATATTTCTCGGCAGTTTTTGTATTGCAGCAATCCAATCAAGGCGGCTAATTAAGGTAGCATAAAGGTTTTAGCGTACAAGTAATTGATAGTTTTGTTAATTGGTTTTGTTTCTGAGTTCATCGGGAATATTGTCCAAAAGCATTATATTTATTAAAAATTTGAACAATAAAGTCATATTTTAAGCGAAAACGACATCATTATTGGTCAGAAATATGGACATGTAATTATTTGCCTGGACAATATAGCATATGTGTGATTGGTGTACAGAGTGGTGGAAAAATGGACACATATTAACATGTAAACGAACCGCCTTACATTTTTGCTGCTAAACTAATAAATTGAAGGGTTCTCTACCTTCAAATCAACTAATAATTTATTGATTTTTATTCTTACCTCAATTTTAGAGAGAGAGAAAATGGCAAAATTAATCTATTTTACATAAATTATAGCTTCTTCCAGTGTTTAAAATAGTTGTTTGACCTAAAATTGTATCTCTTGCGATATCAAATGTAAGAAAGTGCTTCGGTCCGGCGCCAAGAAGCAACGTATAGTCTTGGCAAACACTCTGCTGGAGTTGTCTTTATATAGGAAATGTAATTGATACAATCATAACCTCCTCAGAGAATTGCTGGCTCAAGTATTTTACTCAACTTATGTTCTTCGTACTTTGTAGTTTATACTTTTTGTTTTAATATCAGATGGTTTCCAAATTTAAGTAAAAAATGGCGGGATGTGTTCCTTATTCATGGGTACATTTTTTTCCTACAGTTACCTAACAATGTACATGTTCTCTCACTGATTTGAGAAAGCAAAGTGGCCAATTCGCTCACCAGTGAGACAATGTTAACATTGTCTCACTCTAATTACTTTGTCTCACTCCAGATTTGCAACGTGAAGGCACGAAATAGTGAGCGCGTAACATGCAGGCAACGTCGTATGCGCGCGAAATACGTTGGCAGAACTGGCTGTAAATCAGCTGGTCAGCTGTTGTACTGTTGTATTTGTCACTTCACATCAAAGTTCACTTCTGTGTAAAAATAGGTTATGTTTCTTCATGTTTCTTCACAAATGTTTTTGTTTTATGGTAACTGTAGGAAAAGTATAATGTGCAACTCGAGTTCAAAGTACAATTGCCTCACTCGAGTGAGTCAATTGCTCACTTTTCTCACTAGTTGCACAAATAACTAGTCTCGTTATCCGTCCATCTGCCCAAAGCTCAACTAACTAACTTGTATTGGATATCAAATACTTTATTTAACGCCGTTCGTATATTTACCTATTTTGTAAAGAAGCTGTACAAACCGAGGGCTTGTAACTGCCTACGACCTACAGTTTATTATATATCATAATTTATAACAAATAATAGCCCCTTGGATATTTATTTAGTGCAAACTGATTAATTTATGACCACAGTCTACTGTATCAGTTCTTAAAATGTAAAATGTGTTCCAAATGTGCAATATTTCCCAAATGTAGACAATCTCGTAATTAATTAAATTATTATATTCTTTACAAAGAAAAAGCAAGGATATGAATGTGTCTCTCAAAACCTACATACACCAAATATCAGATGTTTGGCAGCGTTGTCGCGATCGTGTGTAGCCATGCAGAAGATCTGAGATTTGACGAAGAGGGTAGATGAGAGGGGGTGGAGAGGGAGGGAACTGATTTTAAGAGTGATTTATGATATTCCGGACACGTTTCTATAACCCAATATCTTAACCTGATTGAGCCTTGGGGCGCTTGGTTATACAGTATTTACGTCTCTTTTGGTTCCTTCAAGACTTCCTGAAAAAGGTCTGAGTAGTATAGTTTGTCGGTGCCGTTTTTTGCGCATCGGCATTTTTGGGCCAACTCCCCGCCTTATGCCTAATTGCTAGTACATCTACCATTCCCCTTTCTAGTTGTTGTCTATATTTTTATCTTATCTATATATATTAGGCGTATGAGTTGTTTAATATTGTCAGTTTAGTTTGTCGCCGCCATTTTTTGAGGTGCGTTGTCAACTCCCTGCCTTATGTCTAATTGCTATTACATCTACCATTCTCCTTTCCAGTTGATATAATATATTTCTATCTTATCTATATATATATTAGTTGTATGAGTTGTTAAATATTACCATTCTCTTTTTAATGTTATTCTAACCATATTGTATAAATACCTCTTACCTTTAGTGTCATCCATATGAAATAATATTTACAATTTTCTTAATTTTTAGATGTATTATTGTTTTTGTCAAAAGTTGGAACCTATATAATGTACTTAAATTTTAACAATTCTGCTGTATCTTTTGACATTTTTGAGATACATGTGATTTTAAGTCTTGCTACAAGAAAATACTCTAAAATTAAAAAAAATAATTTAAAATAGCTTACAACCTTGTAAATTGAAGACACTAATACAAGACCCACTTAGTTGAAAAATAGTTATATGTCAAATTTAAGAACAAAAGATTTCTATAGTTACAGAGGACCTTTACAAGGAAATAGAATGTGACTTGCATTTTTTGTTCATACCTCTGGTTATAGTAAAGATATTGTCAAAGCAAAACATCTCTATAGACTTATATTATTTGATCTGTCTTGAAACTGTGCAAGATTACTGTGAGAATGTTGCAAGAATTAAATCTACAAATCATCACCTTCAAACCTTAACTAGGGATAAAAAGTACTACATTTTCATGTTGTCAAGAGGTTTATTGTACAATATATCATCAATACTATTATACATTTGCTACTAGAATATATATGAGTTTTTACATCAAATACTCTGAAATTTGTCTCCTCAAGTCGTAAACATCAAGTGAACGTACTATACAATAACAAATACATTTATTATATTGAATTGAAACATGAAGTATTTATAATATTACTTTTGGGTTATCATTATAATAGACAAATCGCTACGGCTATGCAATGTAAATCTGAGAGTCAATTATCATGATGAGCTACAACTTTTAATCTAAATGAAAAGTTATTCAAACATACATATATACAAAAGTACAATACTGTACGACAAGAAAATAAAAATAATATTTGCTACTTGTTTTTACCCTATTCGTGTTAATTATGAAAATCAATCATGGAATTTCTGGATTGATTAAATGAAATACGATGTCTTGTTCGAATAATAATATACATGTTTGTGTACTTTTATACAAGTAAAATTAGTGATGTTTTCATACTAAAAATGTTTAATAATGTCGTCGAACATAACAATTGACTGTGACCTGTTACTTTGATGTGAATTAGTTACTTAAATTTCACACATTTCACACAATTTGTACACAAATTTCACACATTTCATGTAATATAACAACTAACTTTGACCATGATGTGAATTTATGTAAAAATATTTTACTCAAATTTCACACATTTTACACAATTTATAACAAAAATTACATACACTTCACACAATATAACAACTTACTGTAACTTTGAAGTGAATTTGTGTGAAAAATTTACTCAAATCTCACACATTTCACACAATTTGTACAAAAATTTAACACATATCACACAATATTACAACTTACTGTAACTTTGAAGTGAATTTGTGTGAACAATTTTACTCAAATTTCACACATTTCACACAATTTTTACACAAATTTTATGTTATTTAACAACTAGCTGTGACTATGATGTAAATTTGTTACACAATTTTCACAACTATTAACAGATGAATGGTGGCTTGTTTGTACATATAAAAATAAAAATATTTGTTAATCTGGACTAATCTAAATTGGCTATTAGAATAGAAGAAATGTATTATTTACAATGTACATAACCGAAATAAAATCTCAGTATATACAGTGCCTGTTTACACGTAATTCTAATTTTTTAACATTTGAAAATGTATGCCCACTTCCCTTTAACTGGTACTCTCGCATTTCATTCTTGATTTTGTCTAATTCACTATCAACTAACTCTTTTAAATTACTAGAATTATAAAATCCCTTGTTTTTTGTTTTTAGGTTTATAGTCAACACATCGTCTCCATTTAAATACTCCACCTCTACTAGCAAATTGGCTTTAAAAGAGCCAAGTGTTTCTAAGCATTGCTGGAAAGTATTTACTATTTCTGGTTTTATATTGTAAAGAAACTCTTCTAAATTTGTGGATGATTCAGGATATGCAGCAAATGTTTTTACCCTACACCTAAATGTGCAGGGTATTTCCTGGAACAATGATCTGGACATTTTATCTTCTTTTTCTATAATAAATAAAAACAAAAATATGTTTGTACCTAACACAATATCTGATATGATAGTAAAATCATACCCCAGGTTTGAGCAATAAAAACGCGTACTTTTGCACATTAGAATTGACCCCCCCCCCCCCCTTTTTATTTTTACTCATTTTCTCTTCTGTCCTCTGACTCCTCTTCTTCTATTTTCTTCTTTTCCTCTTCAATCCTCTTGTCTCCGAAGGGGAGGGTGTGTATCCTGTCAGAGCAGAGGAAACGTTTGGGATCGTGGCATCGTAGAGCGGTTTTAAATCCTGTAACAGTAGTGATTTGCATTCTACTGCTTGAAATGCGTGTAAACGGGAGCTTCATTTCAAAATTCCCTCGAGACATCAAACTTTGAAAGTAGTCGTCGAAGGTCACATGTTTTCGCAACATCGATTTTTGTGTCCCCTTAGCCTTCATCCCGTAAACTACTATTTGTCCTGTCTCCAGTATCAATTTCTTCTTGCTATACACTTTGGAGCACAGCCCTACATATTCTACTGGCAAATCTCCAGCAGCTTCGTCCTTTGCCAGGCCCAAACCAAAACGTCTCCCAGCCTGGTACAAAATATGATTCTTAGGGTAGTTGGATGTGTCAAGCCTGGTGAAGATTGGACTATTTTTTAGGTCCTGGTACAAGTCTTGTGTATATATGTGGGCTAATATAGAATCTGTGTCACTGTACCCCATTCTAATTTTATTTCCGTACATAGGTTTTAAATAGTCATAATAAAATGAATACATTATAGTTTTACTGATGTCTAATATAGCAACACCCATGTATATTGGAGTATTGAATATAATTTTGGGTTTATGCATGACGAAGACTAGGGTGTCCTCTGACACAGCATAAAACTCTTTAAATAGTCTACTTCTTGAGAACTTGTCCACTTGTTGATTGGTCTTCGCAATCTTAATATTAACACGATCATCAAGTTTCATTATAGATCTGCCAAATGCGGAATTTGAAAACCCTTTGTAAAAGTCTTCTTCAAATTTGTTTTTAGATTGTTTACGCATCTCTGTATTTAAAAGGATGAATTTCTCACACCATTTTGATTGTTTGAATTTTAGGATCCTGTGTACATGTTTGAGAACAAGACCATGTTTCATTGCCAGCTGTAGACTAGTATGGTGCAGTACATAGTTGGTCTTGTCACGGACAGTGGCCATGAGACACATATTACCGTCCTCGTTTTCTTCTTGAGCCGGAAGAAAAGGGTAGTCCCCGTGGGCTTCATGGAGATGTTCAGGGTATTCCATGGTTACTTCTAAAAATGCTCCAAATTCTGAATCCTCGCCAGCTTCTAAGATGCCTTCCAATTCGTCAATGTCAGCCCATTCAAATCCTCCATAAGGAAGGGGTTGGCACATGGCTGTTGCATAAAGTGAGTTCATGTCTATGTTGTATATGTAGGATGATGCCTCCTCCTTATTATATAACTCCCCCATGTAATAATTGTTGGCTTTACAATACTTTAGGGGCGCCGTTACAAATCCACCTCTCATCCCCCTTCTGCAGAAGTCGTGCATCTCTCTGCAAGTTAGCAACTCGAGCCGTACATCAGTAATTTTTAGCATGGCATCAAATGCAAGACCTGGAGCAGTGAAATAATATGCAGGGTCCAAACCATAAGTCGAGTGTACAATCTTCCTAAAATTTTGGAAAACATCTCCAAGTATAACAACATCTGTCCGTAAATATAGCATTGTATATTCTTCAAGGTTAGCAATATTAAAGTGTGACCACACCTTACAGGCATGTTCATACTCTTCTGAACTTAACTCTTCATCTGTCAAGGAGTTGTGGAATGCTTCAATTGGTGGGAGTGATGTCTCACTCAATTTTGACATGTCTGTTAGATAATTATAAGGATAGACACCCTTCCTTATTATAAGGTTGAAGTCTTCCTCGCTAGGAAAAAACTCCCTACAAATTTTCTTTTGATCATTCTGTAGGTTATTACATAATTCACTAAGACTGCGAGGCATAAACTTAAAAGAGTCTATGAAACGGAGTTCCATCTTTCCCACAGTCTTAGAAAACGATGTGAATTTATCGTTAGTGTTTGGTACGACTTTCACTTGTCCGAGGTGTGGTATTATGAATGCCGAATCGTACCGCGCTAGATTGGCCACCACAACTGGGATGTGTTTTTGATCTCTATAAAAAAGATTACAGATCCTGTGACAACATCCACGATATTGGCCTGTCAAATGATTGTGGTCTATTGATTTTGGATTGTTAAGTGTAAATTCGCCCTTGCCACAAACATGACAGGTTGTACAGTTATCAAATTGTCGCTGTTGTTCCTCTGTTAATACTGGTATCTGCTTAATCCTATTGCTGTAGAGAATAGACTCAATTTCCCGAACATCTTCCATAAGCATAGACAATATTTTTTGTGGCGCATCCAATCCGCAGTATTCTCGAAGAGGTTTAGTATACTGTCCTTCTTCATCCAGTAGGAGGTAAGATGCAGCAAAAGGGCAATGTTTTTGTAGAATGGTGGTGTTGCCAGTTGAAACTTGTGGTACATTTAACGCCTCAAAATCTAAATAAGCAATAAATCTAATCATTTTCTGTCTATTGTAGTTTTGAAATTTCATATGAGCCTTATCTCCAATGGGCATTTCGAATTTAGTGGGGTTATCAGGATCGCAAGTAGGTTTGTGCCTATCCAACTGTTGTACAGCAGTCAGTCCAGTTCTATCGTAAAATCGCTGCCCACATCTTCTACAAACGCAAGCCCGCCGATGTAAATTTCCAAGTTGTAGTCCAACAAGAGCATCAAAGTCTTTAATGTAGTGGAACGTGCCATTTACATACAATAAGTCTATGTTGTTGTCTAAGTTGTCCTTGGGTGGGTTCCATGGGAGTATTCGACCGGCATGTATAAAGAAAATAGATAAGCTACAATTATTTCTTGCTTCAAACTGTGCAATAAAATCATTGTCCGGTCTCAAAACGGGAAAAGTGATATTGCTCCAGTCATATTCATTTTCAAATTCAAAGGCTTTTGTGGGGTCTGCTTGAGCAAATTTACACAATAAAGCATATTTAAAAGATATGTTTTTGTGTTGAACCGGAGTTAGAATGATATTTGTATTTTTTAGAATGTTGTCACCGGTACAGGTCTCATCCATGTGTTCTTCTAATTTATCGTTTTTAGCAAAAAGTGTGTCGCAATTAGGACAGCAATATTTATTGCCCACTTTATGGTGTGTGTTCTTTAAATGCTGTTTGTAGGATTTAAGTGTAGAGAATGTGGTTTCACACAATTCTTCCGAACATTTATACTGCCGCTTAGCCTTTTTGTTGCAAGTTCTAATATGTCTTAAATAATCATTGCGGCGTGGAAATATCTTTTTGCAAATGGTACATTTGTGACCCTCAGTCTTTACATGCTTGAATTTGTAATGCTGCGTTAAATTTCTCTTGTTAAGATACGTCTTGCCGCAGCCTGGAAACGTACAAGGAAATCTTTTATCCGAATGACAATCTCTAATGTGGTCATTCAAACGGCGCCTTTCATTATAATGCCTTACAATCCCAAGAGCAAAACATATGCCACAGTAAAACCTGTCCGGGTGGGATTCTTTAAAATGTGATTCTAACTCGTCCGGCGTTGAGAATATGTAATTTGGACAGAGGCTGCACTCAATTTGGGCTGTACTCGTTGACGCCATGACGTTCCCAATACCTGTGACCAAACGAAAAAATACTAATATTTTGATATCAAAATGTATATTTTACTAGGAACTATTAATTTATACACGACTATACAACACGATACTAAGTATTTAGCAGCGATAACTCTAATATCTAGAACTGTAAACACGACAAAAAATATTTTCGGTGTTAGCGGGACCCCGAGTCAACATCCTGAGATCTCACTCTTGATCTCACTTTCAACAACCAGTTTGTAGCTGCAAGGTCGACAGCCTTGGCAGACTCTTTGGTACAGACATACTCGCGACCGTCATTTAAGAAGGACCACCGTTATTAACTGTTATGGAGCCATACTCTGTTGCGGTGTTAAATAATAATTTAGAGAATTTTAGTTACTTGTGTGTAAATGTATAAAATTTGAAATTTTGCAGAGAATTAAATCATCTTAGTCAGTTATTAATAAATTACTAGGTTCAAGATTATGATCAACGACTCTATGTACCCTAAAAAGTTGAAGATATAAAACAACATATTTTAACATTCAAACAAATCAAGAATCAAATTATTTATTTATCAAGATGTACAAATTAATAATGCTTTAAAAGTATCTCTGTTGTTATCTATTCGGCCTTTATACATCAGATCGTGATGAAACTTTAACTAATTAGTACTATACAAAACGAACAGTTTTATTAGCCAAATAGATTAATATTTTTATGATTTTTGGGTTCCATTTGCCAGTTGTCAAGTCAATATAGACAGTTGGCACAAAGCACAATTATAGATAACCGATATTCCTGGTTTTGATATAGTATATAGCAAATTGCAGAGTTAACTGGCTAAGAAGAAAACCAACTGCATGTATTGAATACTGGTTTGCAAATATAGCATGGTCAACTTTATTAATGGTTTTCCAATTCCTTATGGAGAACATTTTATGTTACTTATAAATTTCTGTAAAAATTTTAGGAATCACTTTATTTTCTTCCTGTCACGGGATAATGACCTTTAATTTGATCCCTCTCCCGATGTTCTACGCCCACAATTTTGACACAAAGAATCAGCTATATAGATGTCTCGACAAAATGTAGAAAAAGAGTACATAGTGAAATAATAAAAGATATATACTTACATAGAAACGGCAGCTACAGCTACAAAACCATCCAACTGGGATGTTACGGCAAAACGTGAGATGTCACATAGTCTGAAATATTAACAAAATAAATTATAATTGACTTCTTGAAATATTATCATTTTCTCTAACTGATAAAAAAAATCTGGGTAAAAATACACACGAGCAGTAAAAAAAAAAGACCTTTAGAAAAATATATAATCTTGTATGTTAAGCATTGACTTTAAATAGAGAAGGATCCAGCCATATGGACCTTTTCCCCTTGTCAGATCTAGTAGGATTTAAAAGTGATAACTCTACATGTCAGAAGCTTGAACACATCTCATTGAATTGACAATCTAGTGTGTTAACAGCTGTAAATACTACCCTTTGCACTGTGAAACTAATAAAAAAAAAGTCAGAATACTTTTTATCATGAGAGGATTTATAAGTCCTTCTGTATTTAAAGTCAATGAAGTAATGTTTAACATACAATTAATTATCTGATAATAAAATAGAAATTAAATTTAAAGAGCATTGTCAATGTAAAATAAAAATGGTTTATTTATACGGCCACAACCTCTGGATAAAAATCTTCCATAATGTCAATTATGGAATATTTATATATTTATATAATTAGTATATTAATAATATACTGTGTAATATTATTCTACAATCTATTTACAATATTTAATGTAAAACAAAAAAAAACGAATAAATTTGTAAAACATAGAATACTAACACCTCTCACACACGCACGCATTTACATACACTCGCAAACACTCACACACCTGATAATTTAGAATCAACACAAAAAGGGTCAATACACTCATTACATCTTAAGCTATAGTTCTGAGTTTATTAGAGAGCATCACTACTATTAGCGAATCACATCATTGATCACAGAGTTTGCTCTAGTGAAGTGTAAAGGTAAAAAGAAAAAAAAATCTATAACTTCTTCAGTGAGTAGATTGATGCAAACACCTTTTACTTATGTCCACAAATACATCTCCCGAGTAAGTGTCCTAGATGTAAGTTTTTACATATAACAGACTAATACTTAGTTCTTTTTAAGATGAGAATTTATATGCATAAAAATACTGCTAAAATTAATACACACCTTAAAAGATTATTAGAAGAAGGGGGAAATAATCCTGACGGCTGGCATAGTAGTCTCGTTCTAAGAACCCACACACACACAACCTTAAAATACAAATATTAAGGATTAATACATAATCTAGTCTAAAAAAGAATAAAACTTTACATGTAGACAGCTTTTAAAAGGGGTCTTGTTTATAGAAGCTAAGAAAATATAGTGGATGTATACAATTTCTGCCGCATTTTAATAAATAGCTTAAAATCATGTTTCTGGGTCTTGTTTTAAGAAACATCTAACTAACAAATACAAATAACAAGTATCGAGTTTATAGTGTCTTACATTTTTTCAATTTACCATTGTAAAGTAAAGCTGTCCCATTTATAGTTACTGATTTCACTATGTCAAAGTCAATTGAGTTTCGTAAACATGAATGCTAAATTATAATTGGTCTTGTTTCCATGTTTATCAGCCCAAATAAAAATTTTATCGATGTTTTCATTGATTTTTAAAACACTGTCATTGATATATTATGATATATATGTACGTTTTTAAGTATAACAGACTGATACATAGTTCTTTTCAAGATAAGAATTTATATACATTTATTTATACTCCTAAAATTATATGTGAATACACACCTTAAAAGATTATTAGAAGAAGAGGGAAATGGTCCTGACGGCTGGTATAGTAGTCTCGACCCCACACATAGACCCCACACATACAAGCTTAAAAATGCAAATATTATAAATTAATGCATAATCTAGTCTAAAAAGGATAAAACTTAACATGTGGGCAGCTTTAAAAGGGGTCTTGTTTATAGAAGCTAAGAAAATATAGCGGTTGTATGCAATTTCTGCCGCATTTTAATTAATAGCCTAAAATCGTGTTTCTGAGTCTTGTTTTAAGACACATCTAACTAACAAAACACATAAAATCGAACTAAAATATGCTAACCAATCACTAGTAACATAAAATGACATCCTAATCTAAAACAAGATCATATAGCCCACGCATCCAAGCTTTTGCTTTCTTCCGTGCCAAGGTCAACTACTCGACAAGCATACAGTTATATCAGGACTCAGGTTACTGAACCATCTCTATCTACTACTCGCTCCTAATTTACATCTGACATTTTCGGCTAACGACATAGCCCATAAGTACCAAGTAAATATTGCTATTATTCATAAAGATATTGAAATTTGCTAGAAGAAAAAAAAAATCATACAGCTAACCAAAACAAAGTGAAATATTGTTTAATTCTGATAAAATCTTGAAAGTTGTTTTTAGATTTTAAAGGAAAGGAAATAAATATAGAAAATACATCTTACCTTAGTATGTAGAGGCTCAAGACGAATACTGGCTGGCGAAATGGAGGCTTGATGTTTTATACTGTACAAGTGTGGAGAGGGATAAAACCGTTATGATTGCAACCCGGATTTGCAAAAGTGTGCTATGCCCGGATTCGCAAAAGTGTGTTATGACTCACATGCGGTTAATCCGCCGGATAAAAAGATCCTTGATGGGAAGAGGGTCAAACCATTAGACCACAACCCGGATTCGCAAAAGTGTGTTAACTACAACTCACATTCAGATAGCTAATCCTCAAAGCATAGGCATGATAAAAATTATAAATATATAATTTAAATAATAACAAATTTATGTTTATATGCTATGATATATGCAGAAACCGGGTGTAATAACTCACAAGGCAATAACATACAATATGGTTGGAATAACATAAAAAGAGAATGGCAATATTAAACAACTCCTACGACTAATATATATATAGATAAGATTGTAATATAGACAACAATATATCAACTGGAAAGGGAATGGTAGATGTACTAGCAATTAGGCATGGGGCGTGGAGTTGACAATGCACCTCAAAAAACGATACCGACAAACTAAACTGACAATATTAAACAACTCATACGCCTAATATATATAGATAAGTTAAAAATATAGACAACAACTAGAAAGGGGAATGGTAGATGTACTAGCAATTAGGCATAAGGCGGGGAGTTGGCCCAAAAATGCCGATGCGCAAAAAACGGCACCGACAAACTATACTACTGGTCTGCTTGTAATTTACCCAATTAACCTCCATGATTTATCTAAAATCGTTATAATCTGCTACCGCCAAGATAGTAGACATTATTTTGTAATCACATTGGTTTTAGACTTCTTAGCATTTAATTAAACAACTGAAATGCGTTAGTAATCAATGTTAAACAATAGTTCCAATTAATTTATGATAGGCTACT